GAAATTAAAAGGGTAATGTAATTGATGTACTTTTAATTATTCATAGTCCCTTTAAATTCTCATATCAATTTTGAGGCCTATAAATAGGCTTGATTATTCATTTGTTGATGTACAAGTTTTTAGAGAGATTAAGAGAATAATTTGAAGTTTTTCTCACTTGTATTCACTTTATAGTGAATTATTCTTCTTGTCATCCTTCCTTTAAATTCTCATATATCCTTTATTTTTCACAACATACTTAATTTATTTGTGAAAACGAGAGAGACAAATTTATAATTTATTCTAACTAAACACTTCAAGGCAAAAAAAAAAAAAACAATTAAATTTGGAATATAAAAAGGAAAAGATAAAGAGGAAGCAATTTATCAGAAATTTCAGCCTCACCTTTGGCTCTCTTATCCTGCTTTTTTGGCTTCTTATTTCAAAAAATATTTTGTGGATAATATATTTTTATTGAACCTCCATGTACCATCACTGTATACTTAAAACTCTTTCAAACAAAGGTCACCAAAAAAGTGAAAAAAGACCGAAACTTTCAGAGAAAGGCACCATCCCTCTCTTCCATTTCCTTCTACTGCTCATCAGTCCAACAGGTACAACCACATGACCACGCTATTTCTTCTCTCTTTATTCTCTAACACTTTGAAGTTCTTGAAGTTAGTTGCTTTTTCGTGGTTGGATATCTTTCTTCTTGAACTTTTTGTTGGCTTGGCTTAGAGATCAATTAGGAGTTCTTGTATCATGTCTTTGCCCCTTTCTTTTTTATGATTACTTATTGCATTGTAAATTTTTGATCAACCCAGATGGGTTATTGAATTAGCTTCTTACACTTATGGAGTTCTGCTGAACCGAATTATGGGTTAGATTGAACTGGGAGTGTTTGTTTTTGCCTTTAAAAGCAGCATAATGTTAAAAGTGAAAGACTTGATTGATTTAAGCTTTTTAGCTTCCTTGGCTAGGTTGTTGCCAAAAGGCTGAGATGAGCCTTTTCCATTTTCTTTAGTGATATATTGCAGAGTAGTGGTGTCTTTATTGTTTATCTTCTTTGCAAATCTATACGCAATTATATAATTTCTTCTGATGCGTTTTACCTTTTTCTTTTCCTTTTTTCTGAATTTATGGAAAGCAACATATTCCATGAATTGATGGTTGTTTCAGCTGTCTTTTTTTTTTCTTTTTTTTCTTTTTCCAGGAACTCCCGAAGTGGGAATATGAGAGTGGACAAAAATTCAAGCTCTACATTTTGATTGCATTCCATGTAAAGTTAGATCTAATCAAGCCTCCAAAATTCACAAGTAGGTGTTGCCTGTATGGGAGAATTTGATAAGGAGATTGTTTATTCCAGAACCTCCAACAAAAATCAAGCAGGAACAACCACTATCAAAAAACGATGGGTGGCATTACCTGTGAAGGTAGATGATTATTATCTACATGCCTTCTCTTTTTTGATTGGTAATATGGTACTATAATTTATGCCATCTTGACTCGAGTCTGGAATTCAAACATTGATTAGGTAGCATGTGATTATACTGTCTATTCATGTTTAAGTTGTACATGCTTCTTGTAATGGCAATTTATTTAAGCGACCAAGCAATGGCTCACATGCTAGAAGTGAGCATATTGACACATCCTAGAATTTGGCTGATGAGACGGAAAGGTGGAGAGAGAGAGAATTTGAGATGTCTAGAATTTGTTAACGTGTCATTAAGATTGATCAGTTTAGAAAATCATCAGTAAATGAGTTAATTGGCATTAAAACGTCACGCAGATGGACCTTGCATGAAAATTTAAATATAAAAAAAAACTGCTCTTGGGACGCCTTGAAAAATTGGTCTAGAGACAACAACAAACCCTATGGTTTTTAATAACTGGAAATGGAAACTAGATGTATTATCGAGTGATCATGCTGCAGACTCTGTTCATGTATCTAATGATCAATAGTTTGTATTTTCTCTCAATAAATGAGTTAAATAATTGATATTTATTAGCTTCTTATCTTCACAGGATAATAATCCAGATAATAAGAATCAACTACGTCCTACTTCAGATTCTAAGGATTTCCTAAAGGCCATCAGTTGCAAATTCTGCATGACCAAAGATGGTTGCAGAACTGTGCGATCAAGGACGAAACTAATGAACATTCTGATAGAAAAGGGAAAACCACAGGAAGCAGAGTCCATTTTTTACAGTTTAATTGAGGGAGGGCATAAACCATCTCTAATATCATACACAACTCTCTTGGCTGCCTTGACCATGCAGAAGCGCTTCGACTCCATACATTCCATTATCTCACAGGTGGAAGAAAATGGAATGAAGCCTGATTCAGTATTTTTAAATGCTGTTATAAATGCTTTCTCGGAATGTGGGAACATGGAGGATGCCATGGAAACCTTTTGGAAGATGCAAGAGAATGGAATGAAACCCACCACAAGCACTTATAACACCTTAATTAAAGGGTATGGAATCGCTGGTAAACCTGAAGAGTCTGTGAAACTACTAGAACTTATGTCCAAAGAGGGAAATGCGAAACCCAATCTCAGGACTTATAATGTTCTTGTCAGAGCATGGTGCAACAAGAAGAGAATTACAGAGGCATGGAATGTCGTTTATAAGATGATAGCTTCTGGGATACAACCTGATGTGGTTACTTACAACACTATTGCAACTGCTTATGCTCAGAAAGGAGCACTGGATCAGGCTGAAGGTGTGATCTTAGAGATGCAGAACAATGGTGTGCAGCCCAATGAGCGAACTTGCGGCATCATTATGAGTGGTTACTGTAAAGAAGGAAGAATAAGGGAGGCATTGAGGTTTGCATACAGGATGAAGGAACTTGGCGTTCATCCTAATCTTGTTATATTTAATTCACTGATTAAAGGCTTTGTGGCCATTATGGACAGAGATGGGGTTGACGAGGTGAGTTCTAACCTATGATTAATGTTCATTTGAAAGGTATCTTGCGATTACCCCAACTCCTAGGTAGTGATTAAAGCAGTTACAACTTTAATATAGTTGCAATGAGAAGTTTTTAAGTTTTTGTCATCATAAAGCTTTGTGCTGTTAATTGCAACACTTATTTGTTAAAGTATAGACTCACCTGCTATCCATTCATTCGCCTGTTCACAATACACTCTATCAGAGCTAGCAATGAAGCCACCGTATGTAGGATTTAAATTATGGTACATGTGTTTGCATGGATGCACAACAAGGCTGTTTCAGAAAACATGAGCCCTGTCATGTGTTAAGTAGAATGATTTGGTTCAGTCGCGGTACTGGATTTAGCCATGTGCATGCTTTGCAGGTTCTCAACTTGATGGAAGAATCTGCTGTCAAACCAGATGTGATAACGTTTAGTACCATCATGAATGGATGGAGCACTGCAGGATTTATGGAGAAGTGCAGGGAAATCTTTGACGATATGGTAAAAGCTGGCATAGAACCTGATGCACATGTATACAGCATTCTTGCTAAAGGTTATGTGCGTGCACAAGAACCAGAGAAAGCTGAAGAACTCCTGACTGCCATGATTAAATCTGGATGCGAGCCAAATGTTGTAATTTTCACAACTGTTATAAGTGGCTGGTGCAGTGCTGGCAGAATGGACTATGCGATTCGAGTTTTTGACAAGATGTGTGAACATGGAATTTCTCCTAATTTGAAGACTTTTGAGACCCTGATTTGGGGATTTGCTGAAGCCAAGCAGCCATGGAAGGCAGAAGAAATTCTCCAGATTATGACAGAATTTGAGGTTCAGCCTGAGAAATCGACCATGTTGCTTGTTGCTGAAGCATGGCGTGCTACTGGAATGACGCAAGAGGCAAGCAGAGTTCTTGGTACAATAAACAGAAAGGAAATGACCAGTCAAAAAGAGAAGGTGGAAAAGGAAATACCAGTTGGAAACCTAGAGAAACTGTATCAAAAGCAAACAGCATGTGCCCAGTATTCCAATGTCTTGCAGATACCAAGTACAATTATAGGTGACCAGAAAGGATCTCCTGCAACTCTTAGAAAAGGTAGGATGGTGTTGAGAGATGCTGATTTTCCAGTGGAGTGTTCATGGCTTGCTACAAGATCCATGTCTCTTTCTCATAGTTGTAAATTTGGGGTAAGGTTACCGATTATTTGCCACAAGCAGTCTCAAACACAGCATGGTATGTATGGTCAGCTTGCACAGTCATGTACAGCGGTGTTCTTGAACTGAAGGAAGGCCAAATACTGTTTACTTTTTTATGTATCTATGTTCATATCTCCCACCCAAAAGAATTTACCATCATACTGTTGTAGATAAAGGAATATTGTTGGCTTCGGGTTCACTACCATGTATCTACTTGTAATTTGTTGAAACGATACTATTTACAACATTGAAGCAAAATGAAAAGGGAGCTCTTTTGTGCTTTTTAACGTCTCGTGATATTTCCATTTCCATATTCCAATTATATTTAAGTTCGTTGGCCATGACCGGTAAAGAAGTTTTCTTTTTAAGGCAAACACCCAGGCTGTGCTGAACCTATACTATTATGATTTATTTTCTGGTAACACATGAAAGCAATATTCCATGAGGAACCAAGATTGTATAAATGATTGCAGAACCAGACAAGCAAAGAACATGGCTAAGCTTTTGCCCAAGGAAATGTGAGAACCCATGTTACAATAAAGACTTCCCGATATGCAGAACAATACTGAGGATGCAGCAGACAAGACATAAGAAAATAGCAGCAGTCCAAGCTCAGTCTAAGAGGGCACGTTATTGAACCCATAACATCTTTTTGTTTATCAGGGCCATCTTTGCTACATAATGATTTTCATCAACTAATTAAATAACAATTATTAAGCAAGAAAAGAAAATCTGCTATGTTATTTGATCAGTTTAAGTTTTATATTGTGCAATACAATTCACAGATTTCCAGCATATAAAATTAGCATAAGAATTAAGATACAAATCACATCATGGATTCCTTTCATGTACACACACCTGTTGGATATACAAAGCATGAATTCATCTATCGATTTTTGCCTGATTTTCCTCGCAAAGTTGATCCCTCATGGTCTGGAGGAGAAGGAATTCTGCTGACAAGCCATACCAAAACCACACCTATAAGGGCACCAGATAGATGTGCAATATGATTGACACTCTGCACAAGGTAGGTTCCACGAAAAGGGCCTGTCATAGCTGCTGAAGCTTGAGCTGCCTCCATTACCTGTGGGATCAGAAATAAGCATGTAGAAAGTGATTAATCTCATTTTCCCTAGCATAATTCATGAAACTAAACAAATTCACTAGGTTGATTGAAGGCCTTTACAATATGACGTTTAATTTCAATTTTATCGAGAACATAAAAAGTCATGCAGTTAAAGTTGAGATGATATCTCGTTTACATCCAAATGGCTTTTCCAAGAAGCCATAACTTCGTTCAAACAATTAGGTCTTCTCAAAGGATATCAAATAGTAGTATTGAGGCTTAGATATATCAGGGGAGGAGATTCTCCACGTCCTTTTTTACTGTATCAAAGTCCTAATTTGTAACAGAAGCAGAAGAGTTCACCTTATCTATAACAAACTGGCCCAATATAAGCACTTCAAGAATCTTCCTCCAATCCCACGTTATCTACATTTTAACAAAAAAAGGTCAACAGTTTCTGAAGATTGAAATTGAAAAACTATTTGCAGATTGCATGCTCAAGATACCTTTACAAGGACACTAATAGCAAACAGTCCAAAAACAGCACCAGAAGCTCCAACAGAAACTGCATTTCTGGGCAAAACTAACCATGAAACAAGATTTGCTCCAACACCTGTAAAAATATAAGAGAGCCACAATGCAAAGTTTCCTTCCTCTTCTTCAACAAGCTTCCCTGTTCATAGAAAAATGGTACAAATAGTCCTCATTTTATACCATTCAGACAGAATCCTAGTTAAGACACTCACTGTAAGCAAGTAGAGTGATGAAACTCTCACCAAAAATGTACAAGAAAAAAAGATTGCTCGAAAGATGTTCCCTGAAGAAAATACAATCCAAGATTAGCCGCTCCGCTCACAGTCAAAATACAACCTTTTGCAAAACGATCATATTGTGTACTTCATATAAACATTATCCAAGTACTTGAAGTTAAGCATTCAATGCAAGCTTAAACAACATAAAGATCTCACCAGCTAGCATGGCAGAATGTTGCTGTCACAAACTGGTACCAAGCAGGCCAATTATGATACAAGTAAAGAGATTTAATGCTGCGAACCTTTAGTGAAAAAGGAAAGAAAAAGAAAATATATTGTCAGCCTAACTTCCTCAAGAACATAAACAAGACAGAATGCTGATGCTACTTATTAAGTTACCAATCACTTGCCATAGTACCAAGTGACTTGAGATTGAATTCCACGCAGAAACTAGAATATCGAAGTACCTGGAAAAAGTGATCTGCTACAAACAATCCAATATTGATAAGTATAATCCAGAATATCCCATTCACGCGTTTCTCCGGTTTCCTTCTCTCTTCTGGTTTTCCAAGTTCCAGCTGCCTTATCATATCTAATGCAAACAATTACAGAATACAAAGTCACTTAATTTCCTTAACAACATAAAAAAGCAGTCAAATTTCAAAATCTCAATTACGTAAAGCGCAAAAACTCTCTTAAATACCAGTTTAACACTAATTAAACAGTGCATTAAACTCTACACACCATCTGTTTGTGAAAATTCCCAAAAAGAAACGAAGGCATCAAAAACCACCCAAAAAAAAAATGACAGCAAAAATTAGTTAAATATTTAAAAAGGGGCTTTGTATAAATAGAACAAAAATACACCTGAGTCATTATTTCTGCAAACAAAGCGAAACGGCGTGGCAGGGAGAGAGCGAAGGAAATAAGGAGAACTTGTGGGCACGAAGAGTTTTGGATGAGAAAAGAGACAAGGAGGGACGGTGAGAGGCTTTGAGAAAGGGTAATGGGAAGCGATAGGGGTTAACGTGAATGCGTAATAAGGATTTGGTGTTGAAAGTTTTTGCTGGAAATGGAACCGAAACTGCCCCATTGTTTTGTGTTTTGGAGGGAATTTCCATTTCTTGTGCTATATATAGGTGGATAATGGAGCATGTGAGCGACATGTCTTTTTTGTTTTGTATGAAAGATTTTTTTTTCTTTTTTTTTTCCTGACCGCAAATTATTTGTTTGTTTAATTGGTTGGTTGGTTTTGTTTTAAATAATTTTTTTAACGTCTTTTACATACGTTATTATGCGTAATCGATTTGATATATTCACTTAAGAAATTTTCTTTCATGGAAGAAATCAATCCCACTAACCCTTAGATGGTTTTTATGTAATGGTTTTTTCATATTTTTAAGATAGAATAATCATACATCTTGTCATTATTTTTCTATATCTTCCTCTTTGTTTCGGTTTGAATAATTTTCTATATTTTAAAATACACTGGTGTTTAAAAATTCGACCTTATATTGTTTTTTTGATATTCATAGATAATAAGATATTTTTACATCAATTTTTATATCAATCGAAAATAAATTTTTTATTTTTTGGATTAAATCAACGTTTGAAGACCAAAACACACTTAGCATTTTCTCTATAATTTGAGACGGTATAATAACGTGAAGAATAAATCTATTTACCAATCAAATTAGTAAATTTTCAAAAATAAATTTGAATATTGTTTTTTTTTACATAGAGTGAACAAGTTACAACCACTTTTCAATTTTATCAAGTATATATGCATTAGATATAGTATTTTAAAGATAGTTAATATAACTAATTAGACTGCTTTTTAAAGAAATTTAATTGATATTGAAATTGTTGGCTTGCTGTTTTTTTTTTTTATCCCACCTATTCAAGATTGAAGATTCAATATTTGCATTATCACTTTCTCAATGAACCTTTAATTATTCTTTTCAATAAATAAATAAAATCTGTTGCTTGAGACAAAGATTGGTATCTTAGAACGCCAAAAGCAGGAAGAAAAATACACGTGTTTTCTTTCCAGGATAGAACTGCACATCTTGGTTTGGTCTCTAACAATACGGAAGCAATGGCTTGGTTAGTTGGGCTGGGTACTATTTGCTGTAGCCCAAAGACAGTCGGCCTAGTCCCAAACGCAAGGTATTCCAAGTTCCAACGGTGGATTGGTTGGGTGCGGCACTGAAGGGCACAATCAACGTGTGGTCCTCACATGGATTCAAGATACTTTGCTGATTCAAGAAGGTTGACTTGAGTGGAAAGAATTTTAATCGCTTAAACATATATTTTTGAATTCAAGTTTTTGTGTATGTAAAAAATTATTTAGATAGTTATCTTTACCTTATGCGTTCGACAAAATAACAAAAGATGAGTCTGGCTCTTTAGATTTGGGATACTTGAAAAATTCAAAAAAAAAAAATATACACCACTAATAAAAGAGCAAACTAACAGGGCCACCGACCACAGAAGGCAGAAGGGGAGAAAAAGGTGTTGACGAAGAGAAGGAAGATTTATCCATGTTTGTCTCCTCTAAATGAATGGATAGATAATCAATGGAAGGGAAAGTTTAGCTTGACAATTGTCAATTTTTCTTTTTCATGTAGTTGTTACTAGCATTTATCCCGTGCGTTGCCACGGGATAAACTATAGAATATTCTTATGTGTTCATTCATATGAAATACAAAATTTAAAAATAATTATTTAAAAAGATCACGTGAAAAAAATAAAAAGAAAAAAGAAAACTAAAACGTATATCTTATATTTTGCTACGGGGTTAGTTAAACGAAAATTCCGTAAAATTGAATAATATAATGTTGCTAATCGGATATTGTTTGATATAAACATGTATTTTATTATAAATATGTATAATGACTAATAATTAAATTAATGATGTGACATTTTTTTGAATTTTAGATGATTAATTTTTACCATATATTGTTCATCCGTAATTTGTTAATGAGATAGAGAGACCATCCAAGATAAAAAGACTAAAAAGCTTTATAAAATCAAGAATTTGGCAAAAAAAATAATAATAATAAGATAAAATTACACACATTAAAAATTAAATGATCAAAAACAAGTAAAGGTCATAAAAGAAGGATCAAAATAAATAAAAAATTTCACGAAAAGCAAAAAAAAAAAAAAAAAAAAACTTATAAATAATAAGACTAAAAAAAATTCATTATACATAAGGCAAGAACAAAAGTAAAAAATAATAGAATTTTAATGACCAAAACAAAAATCACAAAATAAGAACTAAAATAGAAAATATTTTTTTACTATAAGCCAAAAAAAAAAAAACTTAGAATAGTGAGATTGTATTTAATTTCGGTGTAGAAAGAATAATAATCAAATATAATAAAACTTTAATGATCAAAATAAAAGAAAGATCACAAAATAAAAACCAAAGCATAACAAAAAGTTTTACTAAAAGTAAAAAATAGTTCCTCATAGGGAAAAAAATCAAATTTAATAAAAATTTAATGATCAAAATAAAAAATAATTACAAAACATGGATTAAATAAAAATAAAATTCTACTAAATTCAATGACCAAAAAAAAGAAAAAATCACAAAATAGGAATTATAATAGAAGGAAAATTTTCACTAAAAGCAAAAACATGATAAAAATCAAACATGATAAAACTTTAATGACTAAAATAAAAACATATCACAAAGTAGGAACCAAAAAGGGTATAAATTTTTACTAAAAGCCAAAAAAATATTTATTATAGGGATAAAAATCAAATATAATAAAATTTTAATATTTATCATAGGGACACAAATCAAATATAATAAAATTTTTATATTTATTACGGAGATGAAAATCAAATACAATGAAATGTTAATGATCAAAATAAAAAAAGATTACAAATCAAGGACTAAAATAAAAATAAAAGCCAAATGAGGGGGTTGAAAAACACAGCAAGAGAAAGAAAGAAAAGAAGGGGGAAACAATAGTAAAAAGCCAAGAAAAAAATATTTATAATAGAAATAAAAATCAAATATAATAAAATTTTAATATTTATCATAGGGACACAAATCAAATATAATAAAAATTTTATATTTATTACAGAGATGAAAATCAAATATAATAAAATGTTAATGATAAAAAAAAAAGATTACAAATGAACGACTAAAATAAAAATAAAAGGCAAAATGGGGGTTTGAAAAACACGAGTAGGAGAAAGAAAAGAAAAGAAAAAGAAAGAAAGGGGAGGGGGAACGAGTAAATGAACAATTAAAATTTTAATAGTTATTATAGGGACACAAATCAAATATAATAAAATTTTTATATTTATTATAGGGATGAAAATAAAATATAATAAAATATTAACGAGCAAAAAAAAAAAAAGATTACAAATCAAGGACTAAAATAAAAATAAAAGCCAAAAGAGGGGTTTGGAAAACATAGCAAGAAATTTTTATATTTATTATAGGGATGAAAATCAAATATAATAAAATATTAATGATCAAAACAAAAAAGATTACAAATCAAAGACTAAAATAAAAATAAAAGCCAAATGAGGGGTTTGAAAAACATAGCAAGAGAAAGAAAAAAAAAGAAAAAAAAAAAAAGAGGGGAGGGGGACGAGTAAATGAACAGGGGAAAATGCTACGAGCACTTTCCCGTTTTCATTTAGTATGTCTTGTAATATTTATTATAGGGACATAAATCAAATATAATAAAAATTTTATATTTATTATAGGGATGAAAATAAAATATAATAAAATATTAATGTTAAAAAAAAATTACAAATCAATGACTAAAATAAAAATAAAAGCCAAAAGGGGGTTTGAAAAACATAGCAAGAAATTTTTATATTTATTATAGGGATGAAAATTAAATATAATAAAATATTAATGATCAAAACAAAAAAGATTACAAATCAAAGACTAAAATAAAAATAAAAGCCAAATGAGGGGTTTGAAAAACATAGCAAGAGAAAGAAAGAAAAGAAAAGAAAAAAAAAAGAGGGGAGGGGGATAGTAAATGAACAGGGAAAATGCTACAGCACTTTTCCATTTTCATTTAGTATATCTTGTAATATTTATTATAGGGACACAAATCAAATATAATAAAATTTTTATATTTATTATAGGGATGAAAATCAAATATAATAAAATATTAAGATCAAAACAAAAAAATTACAAGTCAAGGACTAAAATAAAAATAAAAGCCAAAAGAGGGGTTTGAAAAACATAGCAAGAAATTTTTATATTTATTATAGGGATGAAAATCAAATATAATAAAATATTAATGATCAAAACAAAAAAAGATTACAAATCAAAGACTAAAATAAAAATAAAAGCCAAAGGAGGGGTTTGAAAAACATAGCAAGAGAAAGAAAGAAAAAAAGAAAAAAAAAAAAAGAGGGGAGGGGTAACAATAAATGAACAGGGAAAGTGGTACAACACTTTTTTGTTTTCATTTAGTATATCTTGTGATATTTATTATAGGGACACAAATCAAATATAATAAAATTTTTATATCTATTATAGGGATGAAAGTCAAATATAATAAAATACTAATGATCAAAACAAAAAAGAATACAAATCAAGGACTAAAATAAAAATAAAAGCCAAAGGAGGGGTTTGAAAAACATAGCAAGAGAAAGAAAGAAAAGAAAAGAAAAGAAAAAAAAAGAGGGGAGGGGGAACGAGTAAATGAACATGGAAAGCACTTTTCCGTTTTCATTTAGTATATCTTGTAATATTTATTATAGGGATACAAATCAAATATAATAAAAATTTTATATTTATTATAGGGATGAAAATCGAATATAATAAAATATTAATGATCAAAACAAAACAAATTACAAATCAAGGACTAAAATAAAAATAAAAGCCAAAAGAGGGGTTTAAAAAACATAGCAAGAAATTTTTATATTTATTATAGGATGAAAATCAAATATAATAAAATATTAATGATCAAAACAAAAAAAGATTACAAATCAAGGACTAAAATAAAAATAAAAGGCAAAAGAGGGGTTTGAAAAACATAGCAGGAGAGAGAAAAGAAAAGAAAAGAAAAGAAAAAAGAGGGGAGGGGGAACAGTAAATGAACA